CTTAATGGAAAGACATAATAATCTGAGGCATTTTAAACAGCTACTATAAAATCATTCTTTCCAGGAAGCTAGGAAGTTCTTCAAAATAATCTTACTCAAGAAGGACTTAACAGAAATAGAACCTGTAAAACCCAAGGATTAGAAGGAAGTGGGTGGTGAGATTCAAATGACTTAATTGCTATTGTCACCAGATATTTCCCCAAGCTTCCTCCCATCCCTGGCTCTCCAGGGACCATTGGTCAAAAGTTCTTCTGTGGGGTTTATTGTTGGCGGGAGAGGAGGGATATCCCTTCAGGGGCTCTTCAATTTCAGGGTTGCAAAAACCGGTTCTGAAAATAGTTGGCAGTATCAACTGGTCAAATTTATTTGCTAAAACCACTTTTGTTTTGAACCAGTGAGGCACAAGGTCAGGAAATATTTGGACTCACTGAAGGAAACCACAATTGGGTGGTTCTGCAGATTTCTGACAGTTTTGTCACTTTCTGACTTCTTTCCTCCTCTGTTACTGTGTTCTCATGCTGGTCACTCTTGAGCTGTCCAAGCTCCCTTCCTGGGTGACGGCAGGCCACATACCCCACCTCAGTCATCTCTGTCCTGAGGCTCATGGGACGGAGGGAGATTACTGGGCCACTAGACTGGGAGGCAGAATTCTGCAGCCAAATCCTAGCCCCCATCTAGTTCTGTAATCTGGAGCATGGTACCTCACCTTACTCGCTTCCTCCTTCTCCCTCCATTTAAAAAAACTTATTATATTTTATTGTAATTTTATTAAAATCATACATGCACAGTTCAAGTATCAAATATGGCAGAAGTTCTTTTAACTGGCCCTCCCTTAAACGATTTGCCTAATTATGCAACTGTCCCCTCTCTAGGTATCACCTGCTGACAGCCCGCTCCACACCAGGGCCTCAACTGCTCTCCCTCTAGCCCACCACACACTTCCATCCCTGCCTAGGGGGCTGTAGACCCTAAGTCAGTTGTCATTGTCCCCATACCTGCTGTGCTGAGTTTTCTAGCTCATATGATTATTCAACTCAGTTATAAGTTATGTAAACCAGTTTGACATACAGATGCATAAAAATATTGCTATTTCTACAGAATGCTTTGGAAAAACTCAATAATATTGAGCCACTAAAAGTAAAATGCTATAGAATTAGGTATGAAAATATAATGGCAAAATATTAAGGAAAAACACAAATCTAAAAAGATTCTGCTTTGTGTCTTTAAGTTTTGATCCACTTTAATGGAACTGAAACAAGGAAACATAGATGCTGATTACAGATAAAGTTTATGTAAAAAAAAAAAGTGCAGAACTTAAAACATGTAGTTCTGTTTCATGTGCAGAAATCCACGTCATATTCCCAAGGGCTTCTTCTGGTATTAAATTAGATAAGGTTCACATAAAGTGCTAGCAGCATGTCTGATATTTAATAAAGATTCAGTACTTGTTAGCTGTTAATGTGGTCATTGTTAATTTAATAATTGTCAATCCAGATAATTTTAGAAGAGAAAAGAAAAGAAGGTTAGACCAAATCAATATTTCAAAGGAAGATACTGGGGTAAACTTTTAACTCCAAACTCCAACAACCAAAAATTAGACAGCAAAGGACCTAATCTTCACTGTGATTTTTTTTTTTTTTTGCATCAGAAAACCTGTATGTAAAATTCAGAGGGTATGGATAATTGCATTTCTGAAAGATTTGTCTAGTGGTGGAGGGGATGGGGGCGGGAACTGATTCATTCATGAAATGTAACCTATTTTCTTTTTAACCACAAACTGCCACCTGTCCTTAGAAAACTGTCCAACCTTTTCCTGTATTTGTATTCTCTGTTAGGTAAGGACAGTGATAAACAACTAAATTAATTTACCATGCAGCCAGAAGGATGACTTTGAGAAAAGTACGTTATGGTCATATTTGTGTTCTCTCACTTGAGTGTGAGCTCTCTCTCGCTCTGTGCCATTCGTGACGCATGAAGCTCTCAAACCCTCAGGAAAAGGATCAGTGAAATGCTATTTTTTAAATTGATTTCCCATCAAAACTCTAGACCTATTCACTTAGTATCGTGTTTACACCAAGTTTCAACAGGTGAAACATGCTTTAACACCAAAACCAAAAATAACTGAGAATAAGTAATGTGATGATGGGGAAAGACCTTGTTTCATAAGCTTGTTTGTGCCACTAAATTAAGTCTTTGAGACCATGAGCAATCTTACAAGCACAATAAAAGAACATCTACACTGGATGTGAGGTTTTCACACTCATTAATTTTAGGACTCTGGCAAAACCCAATTGATTTCTGTTATGTGAAGCATGCCTGGATGCTGACATTTAAAGTCATTCACACAGCTGACCACGGAGGAACATTCATAGTTATTAAATATGTCCATGTAGCAAGAAAGTCAGTTTATATTGATTGTATGGACTGAACCCGACATCTTAGGTAGTTGTTACATTAAAAGATGTGTAGGAATAGAAATGATTTAGAAGATGGAGTCAAAGGTTTTAAGAGCTGCACACACTAGTACTATTATCAAGAGGTGAGAGAGGATGCTTTTCTTTATGAGACAGTTCATAAACTCAAAAATAAATGGTATTTGCTTTTCAGTCCTTTTATCAGATCCTTAAAATTAACATTGGTTAATATTAACCCTTGAAAACAAAATTTTAAATTTAATTTAATTCAGTACGTGTGTATACATGACACCAAACTAGGATGTGGGAAGTTACAGAGAGCAAGAGTGGATCACCCCTGGATTCAGGGAGTTTCCACGTAGAGCAGGAGACACGCATGCACTTAACTAACATACTTCAGTCCGTAAGGTGTGAAGAGCCCAACTAGACCAGGGAGGAGTAGCCAGTCCCCGAGAACGCTCACTGTTATGCCCTAATGTCAGTTTCTGGAGCCCCTTAAGAAACTGGCAGCTGGTGGTTTGGGGAGAGGGTGGTGGGCTGGGGAGGGGGAAGGGGGAGTTGCTGTTCAGTGGCTATGGAGTTTCAGTCATGCAAGGAGAAAAAATCCCAGAGATCTGCTTGCAGCACTGTGCTTGTAGCGAACAATACCCTACTGTACAGTTTTTAATTTAAGAGCATAAATCTCGTGCTGTCTGTTTTTTTACCACAATCAATTAAAAATGAATAAAAGATATAGGCAGATGACCTTGCACAGGCTTTATATTTGAGCCAGTGTGAAAATGGGGAAAAGAGCCCATCGTGTCCACATTTTTTGAGGAAATGACTGATCATTATGAGCCATAGGGCTTAAAATAATGCCTGATGAGAACAATTCCTCACTCAATCAGTAAACAACTTACAAGAATATCGAGAAAGACAGAGCAGCAGCCATGACTGACTTCTTGAGTAGCCTTTTTTTCCACATCAATTTAATTTCCTTCCATGGTTAAATGACAGATTACATAAACAATGAGAATATGGTGGATAAAATCAGTTTTGAAAAGAAAGATTTGGGGTTTTAGACTAAACAATATTGTTATCACCAAGCCACAAACATGTGACCTTAGTCATGCTATTAGTACATGGATGAACAAGTAAATATAGAGCTGCAATCACATCAAAGTGGGTTGAAGCAGTGGATTACATATCAGGTTCCAACCCAGGGGGATCAGTTGTACTGTGAGACATATAACTTATTGATGAGCTATACAAATGACTTACATATGCCAGCATCTAAAATGCAGCAATTACTAAGTCAAGTGGAGCTGCTGATAGGGAACTCATGATGATGCAGTTCAAAATGCCCTTGAATATATTTTTTAGATCATTCTAAAGATAGACAAGCATTTAATTGACATAAGTAGGTATTTTAGCACAAATGAAATTTGGTGAAAGATTAATTAAAAAGGCAAGAGCCAATAGGATCTTTGTCTCAATTAAGGTTAGAAATGCAATGTTGTAAAGGAGTCACCCTGATAGCTACTTATTTCAAAGGAGCAGGATAGCAGACAGAACAGCAATCCTACTGTTGTGTAAGCCTTACCATTCTTTAGTTTTGTTCAAGTTTTTCTCAACATACTTGGAAAGGTATATTTAAGACACAAGAGCACATAGAGAGCAAAACATTCCATATATATATATATATAATTCCATAATTAGAATTATATATTATATAAAATATGATGAGGTATAGAATTGGAACTGTGTAATCTGGAAAGCAAAAGTCATATAGTCATATAATTACCATCTTGCTGTTCCCTAGACTTGTTCTCAGAATGAACTGAGGTTCCCCTTTCTCTGCAGATGACTAAACCAGAAAACACATTTAGCAAATCCATCTGGAGAAAGAGGTCCTCCCTGATTCCCAGGGAGCAATATCATTGGCTCAAGGAATCCCCAGGATTTCTTTCTCAGAGCATTTTGCTGCAGAGTAGTAAACTGACATCAGTTCCAGATGCTTCAGATATCCACAGGAACGCTTCTCTCAGAGTTTTTTTTTTCTTTCATCCTAGATTTCAGTTCATTTACTCTTCCAAGCTTCACAAGGTTTCCTGCCGTGGGCCATGGCAGGCGATGCACATGGCACATCCATCCCGAGTGTTGACCCACCCCAAGTACTCAGACATTTTAAGCAGAAAACATAATTGTATACAAACAAAGATTTGCACAGAGATTCTGAGTGAAAAATGTAATTGTGTATGAACACTGGCGCTGTGGAGTAGAACGCAAGGAATTCAAGGGAAATGTCTTCCGTGCAATGGAAGCTTTCCAGCTCCTTTTCTCCAGTGAGGAGGAAACAGGCCCAAAGCTCAGTCTTTTCTTTGGCAATGTTTAGAGGTAATGCTTGGTTTCCTCATAAGTGCCACCGAGCCTGTGTCCTCTTCAGCAGCCCAGAACCACAGGGTGACATACTCTGTTTACTACCTTTTTCCCCATGATTTGCTTTGCTGGAAATAAAATATTAGAGGCTTTAAGATATCATCATATAGAATGCTTTTAAATTTCTCTGGATATGATGGTAATCTATGAATTTCCTTTCTTGTCCAGGATGGGGACCAGTAAATTACTTGCAGCCCATACCCAGAATGGGTAAGTAAACTCGACTTACTGTTTGAGACTTGGGTAGGCATAAATGAGCAGAGTAACAACCAAAATATCTGAAAACCCCATAGTGTCCCTTGTAAACATCTATTCTGGCAACAGTGGCTGTCCCCGGACAGTGCAGTCCCGGTGGCCTTGTTGAGGCAGATGGTCCTTGAGGGTGAGGGAGAAGCCAGCCATGGTCCTTGCCCTCAAGGAATTTACAAAGGAAGCCAAAGACTTTGAAGATCGATTTCAGTTATTTTTTTTTCGCTGAATAGTTAATGTTTACCTCATTTGAAAAAGTTTACATTTTTCCTGTTTTTATTTTAAAAGTATTTAACAGCTGCCTAGGACACTGGACTATATTTTCCAGAATGTCTTCCTCTGTGAATACAGTAAAACAACCTCTGACATTGCTAACATGCAATTTTTGGCAGTTTGACCCAATCTTAGATTGTCTGCAAGGAGTAAGAGAAATAGAGGTAACATCTATACCTTGTTTAAAAAGAATAATTGTTTTTATGGTCTTAACATATACAATGGTCTTTAGGCAAAAAGACTCAGCTATAAAGTAAGGATCCATGTCATTAAGTAGATGTGTCCTTAGACTTTATTGGCAGATCGTAGTATTGAAAGTAATAAAAGTGCATAGCTTTCAATAAATCCTGCTTCCACAATTCAAGCTGGGCTTACTATTGTGTTATATGTGGACATAAGTGTTTATTAATAAAAGATCAATTCCTGTTATCTTATTTTTTAATTTACAATCATAAATTTTAAATTTTTGGATGCTTACCTGGACACTGATCACCTGGATGGCAGTGGTGTATTTACTTCTACAGGAAAAATGACCCATCATGCCCTTTCCTCTTCCATGATTTCATACAGCAGGTGATTTTTTAAAATTTTAAACCTCAATATTTTCACAAAACAGGCAAGACAAATTTCCAGGACAATGCTGTAGATTTAAAATAAGTTTAAAAAAAAGCAGATCATGCCCTCTGTGGGGCATGATGAAAAACTGAAGCAGTAACTGAACCATCATTCATTCATTCAATAAACATTGAGTCAAGGACCATGCTTATTGCTTCCAGGTGTGTAGAGATAGATAAAATTCTCTTCTTCTCTTCATTGGGCTGATGGCCCAGATGTTGAAACAGAGATGGAGACAAATAATTTCCTCATGTAAAAAGTGATGTGTTATCCTCATAAGTAAAGCGCCTTGGGAAGATACTCTGCCAGTAAACCTGACTGGCAGAGTTGGGGAAACATACACAGCAGGTGTAACATTTGAGCTCATTCTTACAGAATGAATGGAATTGCTACAAGTAGGGAAAAGGACACCATTTCAAGTCAGTATACATAAAAGCATGGAGGTAGAGAAGGGCATGAATTGCTCAAGAAAAACAGAGCCAGCATAATTAGTTGCACAGAACTGAGGAGATGCGGTCAGTATTTGGTATATGCAAAGATATGTTTCTAAAATACTACCCTACTTAGCAATTGGAAACAATGGGAACTCAGAGAAAGACCCATAAAGAGTTAAAATGTGATAAAATGGGAATAGAGAAAAGTATTCATGGATGATTGAGAGAACTTAGGAACATGGACTAGAATCAGCCTCTCCCTGAGATAGGACAGGAGGTGTTGAAAAAAAAAAAGATAAACTTGAAGGTGGGTATAAAGAAACACAAGAGAGTTTATATCTGAGAGCTTCAGTTTCTTCCCACTGTACTCTCGGATATGCATGGGATGAAGAATTGGGGGCACTTGTTTGAAACCCAACTCAGCTGTCCTCAAATGATGTAATGTGGACAGGTCACATGACCTATCTACATTTCAGTGTCATCTTCTTTAAGACAGAGGCAATGACATTTAATTCATCAGCTGGAGAACTATGCCACGTATGTGAAAGCACCCTATATTGAGAAGCAGCTTGATGCAGTGGCCAGAACACACACACAGTGACCTCACTGAGCTCTTGTCTGTAAAAGGGAACCACAGCACAAAGCTCATGGGAGTTATTGACATTATTAAAGATAAGGTATGTACAACATATTCATAGAAAGCTGCTGTACAGATGGAAGCTGCTTGGTGATTACAGAATAGGAACTTGTCTCTGGGAAAGAGAAAAAAAATTGCAATGGGGAATGAAAATGGAAGGGAACGTGTAAAAATGTTTTTTAGCAGAATTAAGAGTCCATTCTGCAAACACGACTTTGCATGTACAATCTTACCTGTGAGCTCCAGAACAGCCAAATGGATGATCTGATGGTCTGGAGTTGGGGACAATCAAAGCAGGCACCGTGTCATTGCAGGAGCAATCGAAAAGGTCTGTCAGTGCAGACCCCAGAAGCTTGGCTCCTGGTGCACCCAGACCTGCACTCCAGCCGCAGCTCAGTACCGCCTTTCCCACTCGGGGTCAGCTGCCTGTCACAGGCTCTTGTCATTATCAAGTAAGTGACTGAGTTGCCAAATGTCCCCGAGGTGGTATGCCTGGCCCTCAGCTATGCTCCAGCCACAGGCTATTGCTCAGAGTCCCACCACTTCCCACCCTTGGTTCACAGTCCCTGCCCCAGCCTATATCCAGCCTCCTCCTTGAGAGTTAGTTCTTTCCTAGCATATGAGGCAGTGAAACATTTTTCTACCTTCTCTGAAATAGAAAACTGGAATTGGAACCAATTCAAAGGAACCAGACTACATGCCACTTGTCCCTCATGCCATCTGCAGCACTTCTACACCTCGTACAGAATTCACTGGTGGCAGCAGGCTAGACCACGCTTCCTCCCCCACACCGGGAGAGACTTATCTCGCGGTCCACTAGGATAATGTCCACGGTCCTCTTCAAATGCTCCGTGCGCCTTGGGAACCCCAGGGGAGAGCTGCCCAGGTCTGTCTTGATAGTTACTAAAGTCACCTCAGAGGGAGACTTGAATTGCTGGAGCACTTTCTCAACTGGCCAAATGGCAGTAATAAAGAAAATAGAGGCTATATCTTACACATTATCAACTCCTATTTTAATTAATATAAGGCCTAGTTCTCATCTGGGAACATGGTTGATTCATTCATTCAGCAATTACTCATTAAGGATATACTAAATCCGAGGTGCTAGCTGCTCTCTAAGATCTTCAAAGATAATGAATATAAGTATGTTTCATGACTAATATTTGAAACATTAGGAAAACCCTGTCAAAATCAGACAATATTTTAGGTTTCTGTGAAAATACAATGACAGAGACTCATCAAGCGCTGGGAAACCTCGGAGCTTTCTCTTCCCTCTCCCCAGGGCTGGCTCCCAAAGCCAAAGCGAGTACCACAGGGATCACAGAGAATTCACCTCTAAACACCTTGCTTCCTGTACATTCTTTTCAGTCAGCTGCAGTGATGGACAGATGTGTAGATTGTTCCAGAACATCCTCGCTACCCACATGTGTTCCTTCCCTAGGTGCTCAAGTGCAGCCCGTGTCTGCCTTCCCTTGGGTAGGAGGCACCAGGTGGTGCTTGTGATTCGCTTTCAGACTGGGTGATCTCTTCCCGCGCCACAGATGCACATCAGCCCTTTCTTGAATGCTCTTTAACTCGCCGGTGCCATGCCCGCCAGACCCAAGTGCCTTCCTTCTACAACCATCATTTCATTCCTACCTAGTTTGTGCACAGTCTTTATTCTAGATCAGCTAGAAGGACAACACACCTCATTAAAAACAAACACCAAGATCTTCTATCCACTCCATTTTTCCTTGTTTCCTTCTTTAGTCTGCATGTCTCCCATTTCTGGGTTCTCTGTATATTTTTCTCTTTACATTTCATCTCTGCCCTCTATCTATCTATCTGTCTATCTATCTATCTATCTATCATAGATAGATAGATAGATCAGATTTTAGTAACCCTCGGGAGACAGTCTTTTGGTTTACTTCCTATTTCACTGGAAGAACACAAGACTCAGGTTTTCCCAGTGGCAAACTCAAAATTAGGTGTACGTCTGTGACAGCATTTCATTTACATACTTTTTTCATTGTTCTTTAAAAATCTGTCCTGTGTAGTGAAATGATGTCCTGTGTGGGCCAATCCTGTGAATCCTTGCCAGCAAAAATGCAGTCCATATTGTAACACCTTGATAAAATGTCCAAGGCAGAGTCTAAAACATGTATCTTCTCACTCTGGATCCTATATTTCCAAGGGCCTCCATTGATAGAGGCTGAAAATACATGCTTCCCTTCCATTTAATGAATGGAAGTGATTCTAAATCATTTCTTAGGGTCATTGAACTGAAAAAGAGTCCTTGGATTTTCATGAAGAAAATCTTTGGGCAGGGTTTATGCCCTAGCTAAAGGGTATGTGCATTCAAGAGTAATACATGTTTTTATAGTGATATATTGATAGCATGCTAACTCCTGAAGTAGTGGAGCTGCCATTGTGCAAAAGCTACAGTGGTGGGTGATTTTAGAGGAAATAAAATGGCCTGGCTTGGCCACCACTGCCTGCCAGGCAGAGCCCATTCTTACCACCTGTGCTCACAGCCTGGAGCCTTGTGTTTCATAGGCATGTTCTCCTCTGCACAGTTCCTGGAAGGGACTGTTGTTCCTGTGTAGCCAGGGTCCTTGTGCTCATTTGACTCCAAGGAAGGGAAGTACATCTCATGTTCACAAGCACTGCAGATTGCAGAGATGTGGCTTCCTGAAGAGTGGGGCCTTCTGCCCACGCTGAGCATGGCTCAGGACATTTTGTAGGTCACACCATGCTGGTTGCTCTGTGCTCAGCCTCTCTGGGGAATGAGCAGGATTGAGAAGGTGCCATGGTGTTAGAATGAAGATAGGGGTTCCCCTTCTCTTACCCATATTGTAAGTGACCCTACCTGGCAGTCCTGTGCTTGTGCATGCCTAGGGAAATGCTTCCCATTGCCAACCAGAACATTCTTTCCTGTAAAACCAGGATTATTGAAGCTGGTAGGAAGGGATCGTTAAAGACTTTTCTACTGCCTTCCTGAGCTTATTGAAATTAAGCCTTAC